ACACCGTTTACATGCATAAAAACCTTCATAACACACAAGGGGACGGGTAATAACCGGAAAAGCATGACATGGGAGCTTTAACACTGGCCCACATTCACGTCCAATCGTGCCACCTGTCTGCCAACAACTGCTTCATTGTGCTTTCGGTATTTGACGTATAAACAGTATTTAGTCTCTTTTTGTTTTTAATTATAACTGTCTTTCTGTTCAGATGACAAATGTGTGCGTCAGGTGACTTAAATCATGATATGATGTTTGGTTCTTATTAAAATAGTAATAGAGCAGTCCTCCCACATGTGATGATATGCCACTAGTATGTATGTTACACACATGCTTTTGCACAAGAATCAGCCACTAAGCTTCCTTTTATGATAGTTTCTTAACAACCTTTTTTCCCTTTTACAGCGCGAGTGCCTCTCAATCCACGTTGGTCAGGCTGGTGTGCAGATTGGCAATGCCTGCTGGGAGCTTTACTGCCTGGAACATGGGATCCAGCCGGACGGCAGGAAGCCTGGTGACCAGAACATCTCAGGAGGAGTGGACGATTCCTACAACACCTTCTTCAGTGAGACTGGAGCTGGAAAGCACGTCCCCAGAGCAGTGTTTGTTGACCTGGAGCCCACTGTCATCGGTACATTCTCATTCATTATAAATGATAAAAGTATCATAAACCTTTTCCCCCCTCTGTCATTCAAAACCTTCAATAATCTAATGCTCATTACCCTTAGATGAGGTGCGCACGGGGGACTTACCGCCAGCTGTTCCACCCTGAGCAGCTGATCACTGGCAAGGAGGATGCTGCCAACAACTACGCCCGAGGACACTACACCATCGGCAAGGAGGTCATCGACCTGCTGATGGACAGAATCCGAAAGCTGGTCAGTACATTTAGAACAGAAGTCAATTTTGCTGAAGAATATTAAATGGAGATGAATCAGTTTATTGCTAAGTAGGTTTTCGCATACAAGGAGTATGCAATCATATTGTGGTCAATGGCAAAAATAAGTATTGCAAAAGCCAAGTGTCATAACTAATAATAAATATGTGAAGTATATGTTTTAAAATGTAGAGCTGTTCAGTGTTTTAGACAAACACAAGACATAACAATCTGGTATCACTCTTTCAAAGTGAGCATATTTCCCCGATTCTGGCCCACTTGCATCGGCTTCCTCCACCCTGCAGAATTCAGTTTAAGATCCTCCTGATCGCATTCAAAGCCCTCCATGGTATGGCACCCTCTTATCTCTGATCTCTTTTCATTGAATCTATATGTTTACATGCTGTGCACTAATACGCTTTTTTATCATTAGCTGTGAACCCTTGGCACTGCTGTCTTTGTATTATATAAATACATTTATTATTATTATTTCATGATTTTCTCTTTTTCTTTCAGTCCGACCAGTGCACCGGTCTTCAGGGTTTCCTGGTGTTCCACAGCTTCGGAGGGGGCACCGGCTCTGGTTTCACCTCCCTGCTGATGGAGCGTCTGTCCGTCGACTACGGCAAGAAGTCCAAACTGGAGTTCTCCGTCTACCCAGCTCCCCAGGTGTCCACCGCTGTGGTGGAGCCCTACAACGCCATCCTGACCACCCACACCACCCTGGAGCACTCTGACTGTGCCTTCATGGTTGATAATGAGGCTATTTATGATATCTGCCGTAGAAACCTTGATATCGAGCGTCCCTCTTACACAAACCTGAACAGGTTGATGAGTCAACTTGTGTCCTCCATCACTGCCTCCCTTCGTTTTGATGTTGCCCTCAATGTTGATCTGACAGAGTTCCAGACCAACTTGGTGCCCTACCCCCGTATCCACTTCCCTCTGGCCACCTATGCCCCTGTTATTTCTGCAGAGAAAGCTTACCATGAGCAGCTCTCGGTGGCAGAAATCACTAATTCCTGCTTCGAGCCAGCCAATCAGTTGGTGAAATGCGACCCACGCCACGGTAAATACATGGCCTGCTGCCTTTTGTATCGTGGTGATGTCGTTCCCAAAGACGTGAACGCTGCCATTGCCACCATCAAAACCAAGCGCTCCATCCAGTTTGTGGACTGGTGCCCCACTGGTTTCAAGGTGGGCATCAACTACCAGCCGCCCACTGTAGTTCCTGGTGGAGACCTGGCCAAGGTCCAGAGGGCTGTGTGCATGCTGAGCAACACCACTGCTATTGCAGAGGCCTGGGCTCGGCTGGACCACAAGTTTGATCTGATGTACGCTAAGCGTGCCTTTGTGCACTGGTATGTGGGTGAGGGTATGGAGGAGGGAGAGTTCTCTGAGGCCAGGGAGGACATGGCCGCTCTGGAGAAAGATTACGAGGAGGTTGGAGCTGATAGCCTGGGAGATGAGGATGAGGAAGGAGAGGAGTATTAGAAAGCTTTATTGATCTCTGATCCATGCTGTTTTATTAATGTCAAGAAAATAAAGTTGTTCATTGACTGAACCTGAACCTATGCTTTCCTCTCGTCAATGAATACACTGTTAAACATGACCTATCTGCCTAGATGGGTTGTATGTATTCACTTGCTCAGTTCAATCAAACATGTTTTCACACAGATGCTATTGCTCAATTCAGTCACTTGGAGGCAGTGGTGTTTAACATGTATATATCTGTTCTCTGAACACACCAGGCATGGCAATCTAGTTAAATGCTAGATTAATCACTACATGATTTCTCAACATCAGATGATTCAAGAGTACCATTTGCATATCTTACATTGACTTATTTAAGATTGGATTTGTGCTTTACGTGAGAAGAACAGAGTCCTAACCCCGGCCTGATCTCAAATAGGGTGTGGTATTCACTCTGGCCCAAGGGAGGGATAGTAGTGAGGCGGGCAGGGGGGGGTGGGGCTCTCATGCTGGCAGACAGGTGGTGTTTCAAAAGACTTAGTTCTGCTGTTCCCAGACTGGAAAATGAATGAAACTGAAAGCAACACATTAGGAACCATGTAAAGCCAACATTGAAAAGGGCTACATAGTGTTGTAAGGAGATGAGTGTTTTCACAGGTGTTGTAAACGTTTTTTTATTTTCAGTTCTGTAATCATTCACCATGTTCGGTTACAAATAAATGCTTTTTCTTGACATTAAGCAGATATTTAATGTCATTAAAACAGAAAAACAAAATGGATTCTACAATACAAAAACATACACAGCTCTCATTTAAAACCCAACAGGAACATACAGTACTGTGACTCTCATAAGCTTCCTATTGCCCCCTTTTCTACAGCTCCCAAACCAAAGCAGCTAATTGACAATAATGCATATAAATCCCAGTGAAAAGAGAAAGCTCCACAGTGTAGTACACCACAGTCTCAAATGCAATTAGCTGAAATGTAACTGGACCTGCTTTGGAGTCTGAAGAGACAGAGCAGCAGCAAGATGAAAACAAAAAGACTGGCTTAATGTTGGATTGCAGTTTTCTGTTGAAACTTGCAGATATTAAAACAATAACACCAGTAATCTTCACACGTCTGCTGCAGTGTTTCAATCAAGTTTAAGGCACAGTGGAGAGAATATTCAGTTTGTATGTTATTAACTTTCCAATAAACAACAAAGAACTGCATCATCATCTGGGCCTTCGGTCAGTTCATTGTAGAAGTTCTTTACCATCTCAAGCTCAGCACTTACATCTAAAAACCCAAAACATATTGTTTCAAACAAGTGGATTCATTTAATACACGAATGGAAATGTATTTTAAATGAGGATGAAATGTACAGTATTGTTTGTGATGATGTGTCTCCTTCACCTGGGATGGAGACACCAATTGTTTTGAGTGACAGCTGGATTGATTCCTGCATCGTGCTCTCCACTTTCTCCGGGATCTCCCACTAAATCAACATTGAAATATTGATCACTGAACACTGACATGTGTGCACATGTATGTTTGTGTTGCAGTGTTCCTAGTTTCATTTGACTGCAGGAGGAAATATCAAATGTGACAAAGCATCAGGTCTCTCAGCTGTTTCATCATGGCGTCTTCAGCCTTATCAAACATGACGTCTTTTGAACCATGAACGTGCATTTCAATCGTTCCCCTCATGTTTTTCAGCGTGCCTTCTCCTTTCATTTCTTTTGCTCCTACATCAAACTGAAACATGTTGACATCAAAATGTGTAGAGGTGTATTTCTATGTCTGTAGTGATCTTCTGTCTTCCTGTCAGAGCATTCTTTCATGGTCTCCTCCATTGTTGTTGTCAGGCTGCTGGAGATCCTTCTCTTACGCTCACGGAGGAGTTTCTTGAGGTTTGTTTTCATCTTTTCTTCCTTAGAGAGAGAATGTGAAGCAAATATCAACATCTTTGAAAAAGAACATGTTACAGACTATGCTCATCTTTCCCTTGATTCTTTGTTCCAGATTGTACCTGGAAAAGCAGTACATGATTCAAAGTGATAGCACGTGTTCACCAGCAGGGGGTGCACTTTGCCCAATATCAGAATATTCTATTGTCATCTTGAGAGTTTCCTCATGAACTGGGACAGGGTCCGCTTTACAGCTGCAGGTCATTCTTCAAAGCCATCTCCAGCTCATATTGAGTTATTCCAGTACAATGTATATGAATATGCTGACTGATCAATATGTATTCTATTGATCACCCTTCCACTACAGTCTCCCTGGCCTGGACAAACATGTTTGATCATGGACTAATGAATAGGGTCTTTGACCTCTTGAGAAATGTCAGCTGCAGTTTGACATTTCCGCACTCCTTCTTCCTCATCTCCTCCTCTGTGTCAAGTGGAAATGTATTGATGACCCCGTTGAATGGTTCTCTTTCTCCTTCATTTCTAAAACGTATGAACACAAAGAAATGCTTACATTCAGAAGGCCTTACCACATTTGTATTTCAATAATGTATTTCAATGTATTGTAAAACACAATTGATCCAACACAGGGTTTGATGTGTTTAGTAAGTCATTTCTTACGGGAAGGTCTTCTTCAATTCCTCCTCAATGCTGTCAGTCAAACATGAAGTTAGCTTCATGTTGATGTTTCTTTCATTCCCCTTCTCTTGGTTTGTGGATGCCACCATTCTCAACTCCACACTTCAGTGACCTGTGAAGTGCACCACCTTTCTTTGTCTGAAACAACACAGAATGTTGGAAGAGACAGATCCATATTTTGTGCTAAATGAGTCGTTTTGATTTAATTCCAACTGAAATACTTACAGGATAAAGGACCGACTTTAAGACTTCTTCACATGAACTCTTTGATGTTTTAACCCCCCCCACTGAGACATCTTTCAAAAGCCATAAGGGTCCATGGGTTCCCTGACTTGATCAAGTTCATGACTCAGCTTCTCTTCAAGTCCTATGGACACAGCCGTCTTTATGTCAGCCTGAAACCATACACAACACATTCATTAGTTAAAGCAATACAACCATCATTCAATATGGGGCTTTGTGTTTCAAGCAAAAAATACAAAAGCTTTGAGTAAACTGTAGCAATGCATCCTCTCTGAAGCAACACACACTCAGCTCATCCAATACCTTGTTGGCTCCACGGGTAACATCACATGTGAACAGTCTTTCTTTGACTTTACCATTTGTACACAACATGTTAGTGTATGCAGCTTACTTCTTTTCGATGAATGTTATTATTTCTGTCAATATGAAAGACAGTGAAAGATGTTGTTACTTGATGTTCCTCTCTCTCTGCTGCTGGCTGCCTGAATCAGAGAGAGAACCCCCAGAGCTCCAGACACATAGTTCCATGTCTGCCAGTCGTTGAGATCTTGCAGGAATTCCTGTAAAAAATGTAACATACTTAATTACATTCTTGACTTTACATGTTATACTCAATTAGTATCTCTACATATTTATTAGAAGAGATCAAAGCATTTTCATTTTGTCATTCCTGGCTCACTGATGGAGAATTGAATCACATGTGTCATCTGGATCCAGACGTTTCTTTTTCATCAACTCTTTGGAGCTCACTGTGAAAACTTTGAAACATTCCTCACTGAATTGTTTCAACAACAAAAGAGTTTCAATATCAAAGCAGGTTTGCAGTTTGGGACAATATTTGTGTTTTTGTATTCAATATAACTCACCTTAACGTCTTTTAGTTTGCTGAATTCTGCCTTCACGTCTATCTTGGCTTGCTCGTTTTGTTTTAGTATCAGAGCACGAACATCAGCTGCTGACCTATAGGAAAAGATTTGTATTTGAAGAATGACATGAACTGCATATATATTCCAGGATATGATATCACTACGCATCTCCATCTTGCTTTCAATGACCAATGATCACATAGCTTCATCCAGCATCACTAAGTGTTTGTGAAGCAACAACATTAGGACAGAAATAAATGGCTGAGATGTTGAGGAATCAATGCAGGCATTTTAGAAACACGGATACTGTTATGATCATGGATACCCTGGTTGATCCTGTTTCAAGTGAACATTATATCCCTGAATACCATCCAAACAAGGATACTAATGTGCCTGTAAACGTAATCAATGTTTCCATGGTTTCTCCTCTTGGCCATCAGTGTCTAAATTGGATGGTACATTTAACTGTGTACTTTTGCATCTTAAACCACTTACTGATCATCTGAACCTCCAAGACTATCAGACTTGGTGCAGATCAAATTAATCTGCTGACACTCGTGACCATTTCCCATGAGGCTGCAGGATTCTTCCAGGATCTCCCAGGATTCTTTTTCAGAAGCTGCTTGATTGATCTCAGCCACAATCCACACAGTAGAACAACTTCCAACAACCTGGAGGGGAATACAGAAAATAATAACGGTTACGTTGTCAGTGTTCCACAATAATCAGCATTGCGTGTGGATAAATCACCTTTTTCCACATTGTGTCTCTGGTCTTGTTACGGTCCCGGTTTCCAGGAAGATCCACAAGTGTGACGTGCTGGAGAAGACCCTTCTTCGGCCCCCTGACAGTCACACACTTCACCAGTGGCCAATAGCACTTCTTCACGTCTTTAGCATCTTCCTCTTTTGACTCACTTCCAGTGTATTTGACCAATTCTGCAGATAAGTCTTCAGCCTAAAATAAATAATAAAACAAGAGGCAATGCAAGGCCATTTCTTTTACCAACACACTCTCACACACAACAACAAATAACATTGAGAGAGTCGGGGGGGAAGTGAACACAAGTGCATTTATTTACACCAAAGAATGGAGAGGAAGAAGCGTCTATGGAAGAGGGTTAGGAACATGTGAGAAAATGTGAAACTTAAAGTCAGATAAAAATCACTTTGGTCAGACCTCAACTTTTTCTTTACTAGTGAAAGTCAGAATTCTGATAAAAAAATTAAACCTTTTTTTCAGATTTTCTATTTTTTTTTTCAAGAAAATCTCAGAAATCAGATTTTTCTTAAAATATATTTTATTTATTTTCATGACAACCTTCAGAACTTTCTTCATAGATCTGACATTTAAGTAAGAACTCTGATTTATTACTCAAAAGAAAAAATCAGTTTTGGTCTGTAAGAGTCGGGAGTCATCCGGTATAATTTATTCCGAACTTAAATTACTCAGACCTCCTAATTGACCTAACCAAAGTTATTGAGTCTATGTAAGTTTACTGCTTGGCTCAGATCCACCAACGATCAGCAAGATCTCACCTCTATTAACTCCCCGAAGAACCAGGTTAAATTAACTGCTGTTTCAATTCAGACAACCCCCTAAATCTGTTTAAGCAATCCCGAAGGACTTTGATATCAGTAAATGAGGTGTGGCCCTACCTAAGTGTGAGTGTGGCAGGGTGCGATCTTACCTTTCAAGCAGGAGAGGAGAGCGCAGATGTCTTTTAAGTTGTCCCAATCCAAAAGGTGGGATCAGTTTATTTGAAGAAAAATAGGTCCAAACTAATACAGGGTTTTTGCCTTCTCTCGTTACAACATTATAATCATACTAAACCTATCATGCTGTGATCATGTTCTAATATGAAACTTTAATTCACAGTTTTACATTTATTACCAAAATTGTAACTTCAACTGCCCAATTCAGTTGTGACATTTAAAATCTCCCGATAGAATTTAGAGGCTTTTCCTCATAAAAGACCGTTGTTAATAAAAAGCACATTCAAACTTTCTTTCACCAAATCAGTTCACATCAATTCCATACCTTTTTTCCGACACAGATGGCGGGAACTAACATTCACAAACACATACCTATTTCCCAATCATGCTGGGGCAGTTTACCTTTTTTCCGCACAGATGGCGGGAAGTTTAACCTAGTTTTCGCACAGATGGCGGGAAGTTTAACCTAGTTTTCGCACAGATGGCGGGAAGTTTAACCTAGTTTTCGCACAGATACCGGGAAGTTTAACCTAGTTTTCGCACAGATGGCGGGAAGTTTAACCTAGTTTTCGCACAGATGGCGGGAAGTTTAACCTAGTTTTCGCACAGATGGCGGGATGTTTAACCTAGTTTTCGCACAGATGGCGGGAAGTTTAACCTAGTTTTCGCACAGATGGCGGGAAGTTTAACCTAGTTTTCGCACAGATGGCGGGAAGTTTAACCTAGTTTTCGCACAGATGGCGGGAAGTTTAACCTAGTTTTCGCACAGATGACGGGAAGTTTAACCTAGTTTTCGCACAGATGGCGGGAAGTTTAACCTAGTTTTCGCACAGATGGCGGGGAGTTTCATTCACAAACACATACCTATTTCCCAAACACAGATGGTGGGTACTAACATTCACACACCCATAGATTTACGCAATAGTTACCAAGTTCGAGAGAACCTTACCAAGAGCAAAAACCCAGCTCTGAGGGAGAGAGCGTTACCGAGAGCCAATATACCAGGGGATCCCCCCCCTCTCTCCCTCTCTCCAAAAAGAAAGTTCCTCCTCATCTGCCAGTGTCTTTATGCTCGAAAACAGGATAGAAAAACCCAAAGACACCTCCTCCATACCCATATTTGTGGAAACTGGGCATGGCCTCTGATGTAAAGAACTGGACATGACCAGACATATTCTATGGCTCTGGCATAAGACACACCTTCCCATGTTTGTGTAAAAAGGACATGACCCCTACTCTGCAGGACTTGCAAAATATTATTCTCGGCTATGACATAACCACCCTTTTGAGGCCTCAATGTATTTCTCCTTAAGTCAGGAGCCCCCCTCCCTGTGTACCGCTGTGAGGGGAGAAGGAAGAAACTGCCTCTTCTCTTATCAGTGACACCAATAAACCATTATAGGCCTTACACACTCAACTTAACAAACCACTTGCTTTTTGTTTATACTGTAAATCTAGAACATCATAAAATATGAAGCATTTTCATTGTGGGTTATACAAGAATATAATTGATTATATTTGATTATAACTAACTTTCGTTTTAAGTATTCAACCTGATTTGGAGATCTCAACAGGTCAGATCCAAAAAGTGAATCCACATGTGGTCCTAATCCTCTTCTGTGTTTCAGAGTTCTGAGATTTGCATTACGATCAATTAAAACATGTATATATTCCTAGATCTCAGAGTAAAGTCAGAATTCAGAAAAGTTTCCTCTGAATAAAATATCAAAATCATTTCAATTTAAAATAAAATGTCCCCATGTGGCCCTCATCCTCTTTCTGACCCTCTTATCCCACGCTCTCTAAAGTTGAACTGAATCAAAGAAGGATTTTCTACACGTCGTAGCGCTGCAGTCAACAACTATGTCTGATTATCTCAAAGTGTGTAGGGTCCTTTCATCCAAGGTTTTAGAGAGAAGTGCATTAAAGATAGTCCAGTGTGTAATGACTTTTAAACATATATCATTTGAAGGGTTTTCTTCTTAGATAGTGAAGTGAAACCTGCAAGACAAAAGTCAAGATGGCATGAATTGTGATGCGTTTGATTTCTTTTCTAAGAGCCTCAAACGCCTCTTCCCAAAAGGCTTTGTTAAAAAAAGGGAACATGTACAGTATAATAGCGCTTATCATGTTTGAGTGATTAGTCTCAATGTTGGGACATAGCCACCAAAAGATAGGCTCTCAATGTTTCGAAATAATAATGATCCCTCCACCAAATGCAGATTCAAACTAAAGTAACAGGTTGGTTTTGAAAATGTAAGAAGTAGAAAGTACAGGATTTAGTGTTAAACATGTAAGGAGTTTCTCCTGTCAATCTGCTCTAAGACAATGAACGAATTACCCCCCGTTGCTAAGCAGAATCTTTTGATAACTAATGCTTAGTGGTCATGGAAGAAGCTTAAGACCAGATTTTAGACCCTAGCAAAGAGCAGGTATTATCACAATGGTCTATTTGACAGTGGAAGACTTACAACATTTGAATTACCATTTACAAAATACAGACTTCTAAAAATATTTACAGGTCAGACATTATGTGTATAAAAAATCCAATTCATTGGAAATCTCAAGAGACTCTCACCTACTAAAGAGGTTTTTCCTGGATCACAAAGAACTAAAAACACTTTATATCCAAATTCAACTCGGAAATGTTCAATCTAAATGCAGACCAACTTGGAGGGTTGAGAACATCTTGGTGTACTCTGCTTAACTGTGTGATGCATGATGGTATCTGGGTTCATATCTTGAAGCTACCTTCCAACATTTCAATTTGGAACAGATACAAAGAGTTATAATATTCTCCTTATATCTATAGTAAGTATAAGACGGGGACCTCACAGAATTGTCCAATATGTGAGACTCATGTAGGGACTAGGCTGCATTGCAAAGAAGGAATGCAGCAAAACTCAAGTATTTTGGAGGGCAACATGTGCAAACATCACTACAGCAATCGGTCAACAGGTGTCAGTGGAACCTCTATTGTGTCTGCTTGGATATGGCCCTCGTTCTCTAAAACAGTGGTTCCCAACCTTTTTCAGTCAGGCCCCCCTTGGGTGATTGGAAATATTTTCGAGCCCCCCTAACCCCGTTCCCACTTAGATTGTTAGAATTCATTGTATATAGTTGTACGAACATTACATTTTCTCTGCTAATAACAAGACAAAAATATATATCATTATATATTTTATTATGGATTGAACATGAACAGAAGTGATTGTTTTGGCAGATGATCGTGTGCCACTGTGAAATAATGAGGCCTAATTGAAACAATTAGAAATACTGCTTATCGATCCTGTTCTTTAACAGTATTTTGATTTTTGTTATTTTTTCAAGGGAAGAATGAAATAAATTACCACTGCTCTAAAACATCATGAGGATGTTGTTCAGTCTAAATGCTGGCCAGGAAAGCCGTCATGGTGAAATGGGTCGGGGAGGAGCGCAATTCCTGAAGAAATTGCTAGTGGGAATGCTTTATGCTGAAAAGCTGACGCTAAACTGCTATGCTGAAATGTAATGTGTAAGAAGAAAGTGAAGAATTTAGATTGAAATGATACATGAACTCTGGGGGCTTGAATGTGTGATGAATGAAGAAAAGAAAGTAAAAAGGCTTGGAAAAGCAGCAGAATATTTAAACTGCAAACTTTTGAACTAACTTGATGGTGAATGATCTGTCGCCATGGCAATGGCATTTGATGACACCCCATAATACGCTTAGATGCGTTGATGGCTGCATCGTTACCAAACCTGTGAAGTTTTGGGCCGTTTGAAGCATTTTCACTGAAGTTATGAGAAAACCGTGTTTCATGGCGAGCATTGTGTTGCCATGGCAACAGCAATTGAAGAAATCTCAAAACTGTCTCGTAGATGTCTTCACGGCTGGACTCTTAGCACACGTGTGAATTTTGCCTCAAGAGGCATTTTGTTTAATTATTTGTCATTTTTCAAGCTACGAGATGTTTTCCTACGTTTCTAATGAAAAATTATGTCTCAGGAATGTAGGGTTTGGGAATTATGGCAGTTTTAAAAAAAAATATGAAGGCAAATTTCAAGATTTCCTACCCTCTAGCTGTGACATCACGCACCCTGCCTTAACGAGCTGCGCAATGTTAAAGTTCAAATGTAAAAAATGTGATGAATTATGGGATGTATCTCTGGAATTATGAAAGCTATGAATGATAAAAGTAATAGCCATCGATTCCCGACCGAGCTGAACGTTTTGATGCTTGAACAGAGTTTCTGCGATGTTGAATATGGGAGGAGAAGACGGACAAAATAACTGGATGGAATAATAAGAATTTTGTCCGTAGCATAACATATAGTAGGAATGCTGAATCAGCATTCCCACTAAATAATAAAGATCTATGCAGAAAGGAACAGACGGGAGGAGATCACCATCACTAGACTCAGACTGGATCATACAGGATTAAACGGAACAATGTTTTTAAAGGAAAAAAGCGAAGTTGAAGAATGCAGGGGGTGTGGAGTGAAAGAAAATGTGGAACACATCGTATTACACTGCAACATGTAGAAAACAGAGAGGTAACAACTAAGAGACAGGGTCAGAGAGGCAGGAAGGGAGTGGAGCCTGATGGGGACACTGGGGACAGAAGGTGAGGGGTAAGAGCTACCAGGAAGGCCATTCTTAAGTATTTGAGTGAAACAGGATTGATTGGAATAATTTTAAACAACGTAAATACAGTGGTATAATCAGGGGTGCACATAACTGGTACGCAGGTACGCATGCGCGGCAACAATCTGAAATGCGTAACGTCACTTGTGTCACAACGCGCCTTTGCGTACCTGATAGGTCATCAAAACAAAACACATATTTCGCCTACACATGTTTCTTGTCAATACTCAGTGGAGTAAATTATTAGACATGTCCAAAAAAAAAACAAAGACATTAAGCAGCCACTTTGCCGTTTCGCTCCCTGCTAAAATCTTCAGACTTTCTATGACTGATTGAACTGGGTGCTGGCCGTGCCGCGCAGGACATAACCGACGGACCTGTGAAGCTTCACAGGAGGCAGAGGCTTAGATCACTGGACGACAGAGTTGGTCGCCGTGTGCACAGACGGAGCTGCTGTTAACGTCGGTGTGTACAACAGAATTGTACCAAAACTACGTCAACTGGCTGCGGTGGGAGACTCCCCTGTGCACATTCTGTGCCCCGCGCACACACTGGAGAACTGCGCAAAATCAGCTGATCACAACGTTCACGCTCTGTGGTCAAGCTGCTGCAGTTTTATTTACAACAAAGTGGAGTAAAACACACAGCTGCAAACTTACTCAGGCTGTTAATGGAAGAGTTTGAAATCAGACAGAGGTGGAAGAAGTGTTACTCAAGTAAAATTAGAAAAG